CTGAACAACTTTAGAAAACCCTAGCCACCACTATTGCAAGAAACCAGAACTTGAGCTTTGAACTCCTCCCGAAACCACAAAAACTGCCACCTTCTCCAATCATCCAACCACCCTAAAAACCATCCACACAATCTCAAAACCATTATTAGAAGGTGTTCCAACCATTAGTTTGGCCAAAAATACCATAAAACCAAAATTCAACTTCTCACACCTTAAAGTTTGACTTTTCTGCATAAGATAATGAAACTCACTGCCTAGAACAGTTTGGACCTCTTTGACACTTTGAACACCATCCATTTATGTTGTACCAACTGTCCAAATCATTGAAAAATAGTTGGAACATCATTTTTTAGAACTGTCATCACTTGCCATTCATTACTTCAAGAGGAATAAACTACAAAGCTTGCATCAAAGGAGGGATATCTTGCTACTAGCTTACTTTGGAAAGTCTACAAGAGGTAGGTGTTTTCAAATTCCCTCTTTTATATGCATGAGTTGAAATATCATTAGAGCATGTTGAACTTGTTTGTGCTTGCTGTTATAAGGTTGTAATTATCATGAGAAATATGCATTTAGGTGTTTGGTTGATGGTTGACATTCTCATGTCAAGTTTGCCTCTATTCTTGTTTGAACTATGCTTTGTGCTTGGTTTGTTTATGCTTGTTGTCATGAGGATGTAGCATCATATGAAATATGTCGTGGTTGTTGTATAGTTGACATTGTCATGTTAGTTTACATCAGTTGCTGCCAAGACTTGGTTTTTAAGCTAAGGTTTGTTTGTGTATGTTATGATGAGGTAGTAATTGTCATTAAAACAATACAAGGGATTAAGGTTTGATGTTGGCTTTGTAATGTCCAAGTTTCTTCTGTTAAATGATATGCTAGAAGTTTTGTTGCAAAAAACTGTCAATCCTTTTTTAGGCATACAAGTTTTGTAGGCTGCAGTCTAGATTGATATGTGCATGTGTTTTTTTTTGGTAAAAGCATTGTTAATTAGAACCCTTGATGTATGTTGTTGAAACAGGACACATTAGCCTGCTGTCATGAGTTTGTTTTGTCATGTGAAACCTATATTGATTTGATGTTTAACATTGTCATGTTAAAATGTTTGAACCGATTTTGTGTTGAAAATTGATTTGTGTTTGCTTACATTGAGGTAGCAATTGTCATTTGAAGTATGTAGTGAATTGTTTTTTGGATGGATTAACTTTGTGCTAACAAAGCTTGCTACTGTTTCTGTTTTAAGAGATACTTTATTGGTTATGTTTGTTTGTTGTAAAAAAACTGTCAAGCTTTGTTAGGTTGTTGCTTGGATCAATAGGTTATTTGTTGCTTTTGTAAAGGCAATGTTGTTGGAATTCATCATGAATGTTGTTGGAGCACTTTTCTATAGCCGGCTGACAGTTTCTGTTTTGAGGTTTGCTAACCTCTAGTGTTATCAATTTGATTTGAATTTTAGTACAATCTATGTGTATGTGAAGTTCATGACATAATGCAGTTTAGATTGATAAGCATATGTTGTCATGAATCTTATTTTAACATTGGTTATGTACAAAGTTTTTTTTTTAAAAGCTACTTAAAGACTTGCAACATGATTGTCATATTTTGACTCAGTGAGAATTTGAGCTTTATCTTTGGACATAATCCATGAACAATGTATTTGGAACATGTGCACATCTTTGTGTGTGTTGTTTTGAAAAATGGTTGTTACCATCGTGTTCCTTATCAAATTTCAAGTGGATTAGGGTCAAAGTTTGTGAAAATTGCTAATGTTTTAGTTAAGTTTGAGTTGAAACCGTTTGACACATTTCTTGCCTTGAGAAGTTGCCCAGATGCGCCTTGTTTTGGTATATCATTTATTGGGGTGGCTTGATACAACGGATGTACCGCCATCCTAGTGGTTAATGTCTTGTCCTTAAATGCCTTATCATGCGCGTGTTACCGAGTTCGGCCCTCAACGAGGGCATTTTTTGTGTTTTTTCATCATTTTCTCATTTTTAATATTTTTCCTTTCTTTTTCCATATTTGTTCACATGCGTGGAGTGGTTGAGCTGGCTTGGTTTAGTGTCCATGACCCCAAGGTCTTGGGTTCAAACCTTGGGTGAGACACTTTTTCTTTTTTTTAACACTTGTTTATTTTATTTCTTTTATTTTTGGTTATTTGTTATTTAACTTTTATTCCTTTTAAAAAATAGTTTTAAATATCATAAAAATCCAAAAAATAAATAAATCATATTCTCATATTTTAATGTGTTAAATTATTTTTCATCATTTTTAATTTTTATTTTCCATTTTAATTGAACTTACAAATTAATGTACTTTGTGGTTTGTCACTTATTCATTGCATATTTTCCTCCCTCTATTCCTTGTTTGTTGCATCTTTTCTTGGCATCCTTTGTTTGCATTGCATGCTGACTAGTCCAAGTCAACTTCCTTTCTTTCTTATTTCATTTGTGATTGAGTTATTTATTGTTTACTTGGCCTTGTGTCATGATCCCCCTAGGATTCCTAGTTCCTCTATTTAGGATGGGAGTAGGAGAGACATTAGGTGTCCAATCCTTTGCATGATAACATCCCAAAGTGAAAATTAGATTTGCACATGATCAAAATTGGACCCCAAAGTGGCTTGCATTGAAAATTCACGTGTAGAGGCAAAATCTGCACTGGTTAATCGATTAACCATATAGGTTAATCGGTTAACACCTTCAAAACTTCATATTTGACCTGATTTTGACTTGGTTAATCGATTAACCATATTGGTTAATTGGTTAACACCTTCAAATTTTGAATTTTGGCGCCTTTTGGAGGGAAATCTGTCCGTTTGTCCGTTTCTTGTTGTTTTGAGCTCTGTTCAACTTCTGAAACTTGCTTTTGAATATCATAACCATGAAAATGCTTGCGATAGCCTGAATGCTGCTTTCTAAGCTGAAAGTACCCTACAAAATAAAATAAAATCGGTCTCCCTCTAGGAAAAATAAATGTCAGAGCCTCTGATGTTCACTGTTCAGGTTCATGCACCGAGATGAAAACTGAGGCACGGGAAAACCTTGATCCCCTAACTCACGGACGAATATTATGCAAATGCAAAAATGCGAAAATGCAAAGAATTAAAAGCCATACGCTGTCAAAACGAAAAGGCAAATTTTTGGGTGCTACAACGTCCAACTAGTAGTAGAATTAGAACTGAGATGGACAGCGCTGAAAAAGAAAAGAGAAGGTGTGGGATTTGCAGAGAAATAGGTCATATGCGTAGAAAATGTCCTAATGTTGTCGGACCGTCAAACCGACCGCATAGATAATTTTACTGCACTAGTTTTGTATGTGATCCAACATTTATTTTTAATTCAAGACAATTTTCAAATTATAGCAATACTAGTAAATTACAACCATAAAGTTAAAAATAAAACTCAGGAAGCTAACATACACGCTAACTAACAACAGCAACCAACACAAGTGGTATGTGACTCCTCTGTTAACTTCGCCACTATGTGCTGAAAACATGCAATAGACATCTTCATCATTTTCTATACGATCCAAGTAATACATGTACGTACCTACCGGGCTAGCATCAGTCAGCGTTATATACTGACAACGATACTCCATTTTTCTCACCGTCATGCGACAACCGCCCAACTACCGAAACCCCGTGTTAATTGCTGCAACCACGGTTCTGAAATTCTACTGCGGATCTAGGTAAGCACTGATTTTTTTTTCTTATCCATAGAAAAGAAGAGTTCAGACAGACATTTTTAAAACACGGGTCACTGGACACGAATGATATGTGCTGATGCGCAATACGTCTATTTATAAAAAAAAAATGTTACATTTGAACTCGGTCATTCAATGATCGAGACTCTGTAAAAACTTCACACCTCCATGTACGAACATCAGTCACTCTTTTTTAATACATGACAAAAAGAAAAATTATAGTAATATATCATTCACATTAGGTTTCCATTTAATATAACATAATATAATTAAATTAATTTAATATAACGTAATATATAATTAAACTAATTTAATATAACATAATATATAATTAAATTAAAAATAATATAATTAAATATAATTAAAATAAAAGTAGTATAATTAAAATTATTAATATATTTTATAATATAATTTTTATTATTAAAATTATTAAATATTTTATTAAATAAATAAAATAAAATAAAAAAATAAAAAAAAGACCCCTTCACATGCTCGTCCACCTATTGGACGAACACCTACATGACCTAAAATTCTTTCACAAGCTCGCCCACCCATTAGAAGAGCAGATACTGCATGTGATGCATGTGAGATACTTCTGTTAAAAAAATTTAAATGGAGTATTTTGGTATTAATGATTTCAACATGAGGTATTGTTGTAAAAAAGTCACATTATTAACCATATTTGTTCAAATCTTTTCACTAAAAACTTAAACAACCGCAACTCATTGTAAATAATAATTTGACATCGGCACATTATATATATATATATATATATATATATATATATATATATATATATATATATATATATATATATATATATATATATATATATATATATATATATATATATATATATATATATATATATATATATATATATATATATATATATATATATATATATCATAAAAAAATAGTCCAAAATTAGTAAAGAAAGGAAATGAGATAATAAGTGGTCCTAGCCATATTGACCCTTCTATGCTACCAAAACCCAAAACAATACGAATTTTTATTGTCTCTTTCAAAAACTTTGTTCTACTCAAGACATCAACACAAATAATTGCTAAAACCATACATGTTCAAAATTAGCACATATAATAAAGTGCTTTTTATAGTAGACAAAAACACTACTACTATGCAACAATAACATGCAAAATCCACATTGAAACTTTCACTACATTAATATCACTCATAAGATACCCTACATATATAGCATTTTAACCATTATAAAATTTCACATCTAATTTACATATACTAGTACAAAAAAAAACACAAGATAGAGACATTAATTAATTAAAGTGACTAATATTCATGCTAGCATTAAACATGCTCTTAACATCTTCATCACCTTGTTGAAAACAAAACTGCTCTAGTGGTAACTGTGGCAAATACTGTCCAGATTCAACTGAACCTAAAACGTTATGCTGATCAAAGGTGTTGAGCATTGGTGAAGAACACTCATGATGATCAATATCATCAACAAAGTTAATCATTGTTTGATGAAACAAAATCTGTGTCTTAAGAAACTTAACATAATGAATAGCTTCTTCCAACATAGAAACAGTGTCCATTTTACTTCCTCCAGGGACCATACTCTGAAGAATCTTAAACCTGTCACTGATCCTGTGTCTTCTTTCTCTAGCAGCAACACTTTGTGGATCAGTTGAAAGTTTCACCGATGAGCCTTTGCTTTTCTTCACAGATTTTTTCTTCTCTTTTGTCTTTGAAGATGACCCTGAAGTGTTGGAGATAGGAATAAGAGTAGGAATAGGAATGTTACACTCCATGTGTGAGAGGTAAGAAAAATATGAAAAGTTTTTGTACTATGGTTTGAATATTTTTTAGTGGAGGAGTGTATTTATATAGGAGAAATTGGTGTAATGATTTAGAATGAAAGGGAGAGAAGAAATGTCGTCATGTGAAATCAGTCAATCTTTGGCGTAGGATACGGATGTTTTAGGCAGGGACCCGGGTTGGAGGTTTATGTTCCTTTTCTTTATGCTCTTTTGTTTCTCATTAATCTCTAATTTATTAACTTTGCCTTTTTTTTACTTATATTTTTTTGAATAGTATTAAACTAGAAATTATGGCTTTTATAATATGGTAGTACAAGTTTTTTTTTGTTGAATAGGATAAGAGTAGAAATAAGTTACTGTGCTTAAGTTTGGTCTAGTCAAATATTTCAATGTTTGATTTATTAGAATAATAATACATGTATGTGTTTTTTTTTTTATACTTTTATGATATCCAATAAATTATGTATAAAACTATGGCTATTTAATTAGGATAATTAATTAATTTAATTTATGATTGAAGTTGTAGTTAATTCATCTATATAACTTAATCATATATTTTATAGTTAATTGATTTAAAATAGAGTTTAAAATACATTGCTAATGTAAAACCATTTTATACTTTTATCAAATTAGAATTAATAATTTTGATATATAAACATGCAATTAAAAATATATAAAAAAGTTATAATTAAATTATTTTAATAACTATTTTTTTCATATTTTTCTCTTCTTATGTATTAAAATGATGAATTCTAATTAAATGATAGTATAAAATAGTTTTACTCATAATGTGTTTTAAAAAAACAGGGCAAAATTGTTGCTTAGATGAGACCCTCTAGGCCCTAGTATCGAGGAATAGAAAATATGGTTATATTTTCAAATCAAGTGTAATTTCACACCAATAGAAAAAATTACATGTTAAAAGGACAAGATAAGCCCAGTGGGGTGTTCTGCTAACAAACCAGAAATATTTGATAGAATAATGGAGAGAAATTTTAATGTGGTGAAGTGGATCTTCAGTACGACAATGTGGGAGTGTACTTGAAAGATCAACACTCTAGCGTTTAAGCTAATAAGAAAATGAAGAGTAAATTGAGTTAGGGATTAGAGAGAATATTTCAAGTCTTATGTGAAATATCTTATATATGAATGAAGATTATAGACATTCCCTGTCATTTTGTCATGGAATGCAGGAAACTGTCCGACAACATCTAATTGGATAGGCAATAACCCCTGGTGTGGATATAGTGTGAAGCTCAAGAGCATGGATATATTGTAACTTCAGTGCTTTGGTGGAGTGACTTGGACAAATAATTGGGTCTCACTATTACGAAAAACATGTACAACAAAGATTGGAAAGGGGATAACATTACGCGTGACCTACCGTTGTTACATAGAGTGTGGTTGCATATGTGCAACTTACAATCACGGTCTTACGACCGTTGTAGAAAACCTGAAGGCGCGCTATATATGATCATGATTTATTTAACTAACCGTGGTGGTATATATCTTTAGGAAAATAACATTTTATAACGGTTATTATAAATAAATGTTGTTGAAAGTACACATGGTTTATTATATAATATGTAGATTGCTTGTTTTTCAATAAACCTCACAACAACATACATCCATTCAAATTGACGAAGAAGTATATAATCTGAAAATTGAACTATTCTTGAAAACCAACTTACACAAACCACTATTTTTCAAATTGCATGTGTCTCATCATTCATTTCCCGCTCTTTAACATATAGAATATGGTTCAATGGTCTAAGTCCTTCATCACATCAATTCCTTTTATTCTAGTTTAATTTGAATAATATCAATAAGTTGTTGTTATTCAAATTAAATTATAACAGAAGATATGGAAGTGTTGAAGGAATCAGGTCATTGAACCACATCCTATATGTTAAAGAACGGGAGATGAATGATGAGATGAATGCAATTCGGAAAGCATTGATTGATATAAGTTGGTTTTCAAATACAACTTAACTTTTTAGATTATAAGTTTCTATGTCAATTTAAATGAAATGTATTTTCAGTGAAGGGTTAGTGAAACAAACAATCTACATAGCATATAATAAACTCAACTTCATACAACAACATACAACAACATAATATATTATGTAATGTTTTGAGAATTTTATAAAGAACTAAACATTGTTAAGTCACAAGAAGCTTCTTTCTTGTGGCTTAGCAATGTTTTGTTCTTTAAATTCTTAAGACATTAATCAACAACAACAACATACAACAACATTTATCAACAACATAACAACATACAACAAAATAAGGTTCAAAGACAATAATAACAACATACATCATTATACAACAACATAAGATATTATGTAATGTTTAAAGAATGCACATTTTTTAAAACTAATCGTGGATCTGAAACAAATTATGATTTTTATCTAGTTTATGAAGCTATGAAGAAGAAGTACAAGGTGAATGAAGTTACCACAATAACTTCATACTTCTTGTATTTTTCTTCATAGGTACACAAATCATATGTATCATTGCCAAATTATATGCTTTGTTAAGGCAGTGAAGACGAATCTGAAAAAATGAAAATATTCACCAAATAAAAAAAATGAGAACCCACTTTTAACAAAAAAAATATAAACAAAATCGAAATATGAGTTTAATGAACGAACCTGAAATATGATAAAAGAGTATCATAGTGATTGGTGAAGACGAATCTCAAGGTTTAAGAAAGTTTAAAGAGTGGCATGGATGTTAGGGTTATGTTATGAGAGATAAGAGTGAAAAATGTTAGAATTTTCATTTGAGAGAAACGATTGTTATGTACTAAAAGATAGATACTTTCGCTTATATAGTAAACAATATCATATTTCATCACGATTAGAAAGAAAAACCGTGATATAATATATCAATTTTCATCATGGTTAGAGAGAAAAATCGTGGTTAAATCTCTCACATTTTGTTTATCTATTTATGAACCCAATTGTTATAGAGGTATTAATTATTGTTATAGTTATTTTTCATTACTATTAAGATTGTTGTTTTTATTTTTGTTGGCTTGTACTATTTTTTTTTGTAAAACAATAATATATAGTGATATAAATGAAAGAGTATATATAACAATAATAAATATTTTCATTAAGAGGGCCAATAGGGAGGAGTACATAAATTATTTCATTACATATTGTCAATGTCGGAACAATAACCCCCAGCAGCAAGGGAGTATTCATAATCTATGACTCTCTTCTCACTACCCTCGTCAGAATCATAATAACAAATCTTCATGGACACCTTTTTCTTCTTCTTCTTCAGCTTCTTCTTTTTTTTCTTCTTGGACTTCCTAACCCTAAATGTATCCAGGACAGTAGTTGATCCAGATGGTTGGACCTCCTTAGTTTGACTGCTAATCATGGTGTTGTAATGTGGTGACTTCAGTTGAAATATTTCTGTTAGCATTTTCAGATGGAGAACTCATGTTGTTGTATGTAGTTAAGAAGAATAGTTTTGAATAAGTGGAAATTCATTATATGAAATTGTGCCTTTATAGAAGAGGTTGAAGATGAAAGATATGATGATTTAATGCTTGAAATGATTACTTTAAATGGTTGATATTCTTGAATGACATTGTGACCGTCTTGAAAACTGAAGAAAATTTTCAATCATCATTATAGTTGAGAAGATCGTTTCTCTCTTTAGAGAAGTGCAAAAGTTGTACATATAATATTACAACGGTTAATTATTAAATTCGTGACTAAATAATCTCAATTTTTTTATTTATTTATGAATTTAAGTGGCACACGCTTTTTGTAATAGGAAAAAATGGAATTAATGTAGATGTCAAGATTCGAACTATGTACCACTCACTCTATAACCACGGTGTGTCTATCAACCGTGATAAAATAATTTTCAAAAAATAAGTCGAATCCAGTTTCATATATTAAAATGGTGGATGGAATGACCGTGGTAATATAATGTTACCAAATGTGTATTTTGTACTAGTGATCTCCACTTTTTGGGTCAATTGTCGTCCCAGAATACATGCGCTCAATGCTTGTCATGGCACAAAGATGAGAAGTCTTTGAGAAAGCTAGGGTGGACATGCTATTTTGGTATATTGCTCGGAGATGTGGGAAAAATCCAGGTGATGGCATGAGTGACTTTGGAAACATGCACATTACATGATAGTCTCATCATTGAGACATCTTGTGGTGTTGTTCTTACACATAACTCTAGTTCCTAGAATAGGTTGTGGAGCCTCCCTTTAGGATACTCTAGTGTATTCGAGTGCCATTACACTATCAAGGAAAGTCCAACTGTTGTTTTATATATGCCCAATTTTAGACCATTTATTTACATACATCACCTCAACATATAAAGGTTACTTCACCTTTATAACCATGTTTTTACTATTTGCATAAATTACAATCTTTTTCTTCTTCTATGAACTCCGATTGACTTTCTTCGAGCTATGGTTATTCTTTTATCATCTTTCTTCTTATGGTTTTAATACCCTAGAATGAACCTACCTTCTTTTTGTCTTTGGATTGTTATTGATGATATGAGTGAACTTCATGGTGGAGTACCTCTCTTGCTAGAAGATCAGATACCAATTGAATCAATGACGAAGGCATGGGACGATCTGAATGTTGGAATAGCAGCGGAGTTTTCTGCCGATGGACCAAAATTCATATTCTTCGTTCTAGCGTAATGGTTTTTATGATTAGGACTTTGGATAATAAGAAATCTTAATGTGAAAATTCATAGGAATCAGAAGTCGATACCTATAGACAAAGTCAATGTTCTGGTCGACGTCAAGTGTGTGCCACTTTGACTAAGAATTATTATCCACTTTTGGTGTGAGAAACCTCAAAACTCACGACTTTTCTGTTTTGAAAATGTGCCCCGTTTGGTAGAGGTATATGGGTGTTTTATATAAACTATCCTTAGCCTTGATTCTAAAGTAATGCGGGACTATCTTGGCTAGCTTAGGACTATTGCTCTCAGCCGGG